GCTATCTAAAATTATAGCTTATTTAAAAGATAATAATTTTTATTATTATAATTTTTGCAACTTATTTATAAAAATTTTCACTCTTAAGACAAGTATTAATTTTTACAAGTTAATTATCAGATTTATAATAAGGCAATTGTTAAATATCGCAACCTGCTATATCACAGATCATGTGATACATCAAATTTATTTTATATTGTAAACTTAATTAATAATATATATATATAAATATATTAACATATATATATACAAATTTTTAATATACTATGTAAATCTTTACTCACAAGTAGAGTTCTGCATAGCCTAAAAATTTATACTTTTGCTAGCTCGCATAGTCTGCAAAATAAATTTACTATGTTTTTTAAAAGATCAGTTCGCAATTTACTATGTTCTTAATTTTTAAAATTTTAAATTTTAGTTCAGCTATATAGGCTTCTACTTGCAAGTGATCTATATTAAACTAAACAACACTGGGCAATCTCTAATTTCAAATTAATGATTAATGTTATTGCTAGTACTATTGGCCAAATAATATAAATATATAAATATGAACAAAAGATGCTTATAAATACAAATATATTATGATTATAGCAAGCAATTTTTAGCAAATAATATAGTATAAACTATATGCATTATCTAATCTTATATGATAGTCTATCTAAAATGATTTTTAGAAAATTTATATATACTAGCATAATGACCAGTCCTATAGCAATTACTATAGTGATGAGCTTCTATTTTTAGAGCAGAATTTTTTTTTGTTTCTGAACTTTTATAATTCTTATCCTCAATATCGATTTTATTTGTTTTTCTTAATTTATTTGAATCTTGCCTTAGACTTAAGTCTTGCTGTTTATTTAAAGTTTGTTTTGTAATTATATCTTCAAGAACATCTTTTTAAGCAGAATTTTGTAACCTTGGATGTCCTTTATACTTTGATTTTTTTGAATTTTTAATTTGGTTAATATCAATAGTTATCCAATCATTAGTATTAAACTCAGAATAGTTTTTAATAAATTTTACTATCAACTTCACAAATTCATTAACTAATCTATTTTCTATAGCAAACTTTAACTCGCTTTTAGCTATGCCAAAACCATATGCATATTCTTATTTTTCAATAATACTTGTATGAATACAAGCTTGATATATATTAGACCTACAAATAGAAATTACTTGATTTATTTCTTTATTTGTATTGAATTCTGCAGCATCGCTACCTATAATTACTGAATAGTCAAATATTTGTATTTGATTAATATACTAGCGCTTAGATATAAGCTTAATATCAAATTTGGTATTATGAAATATTTTAAAAACACAAAAAAAATACCTGCAATAGAAACTATTTGAAATAATATAAAGACAAGTACAAAGATGTATACTGTCAATTAAAAGTATAATATAATAAGGATAAGTATATTTGTAATGATCAAATAGTAAACCTTTTCAAATTTCAAGAATATGTTTATGGTTAATCATATTTATAATATTTTCAAACAAAGCTTGTAACGTATTGTATTTATCTTTGAAATATCCATCTATATATTCATGAGCACTAGAAAGCTAATAAAAAAATATTAGTTAAATAAAATAATAACTATATTAGTTATACAATAAAAAGCTATACCGTAGTTAAATTTTTTAAAATTTTAAATAAACAAGCACGATATAAAATACTTTGTGATATTTGTTCATTTTAAACTGAAATAGACTCTAATATTAGATAATTTTTAATAATATTCTGAATAGACTCAAAAAAAATACTTTGAACACTTGAAAGCCCTCTAGTCAGTAATGAATTTTTATATTTTGAAAGTTATTGACACTATGCTTTATATTCGAGTCTTATTTGAATAGCTTTTCCTAAATTCAAAAGTAATATTTTTGCATTAACTTCAGTTTTAATATACTTGTTTGTGCCTTCCACTTGTTGAGTGCTTTGCATTCTAACACAAAAGAGTATAAACATATAGATCTTGGCCTATGAATGTCAAGATTTCCAAAGTTGTTTTAAATAACTTTCACTTGCAGGATACTTAACCAATAGCTCTTTCTAATAGTATTCTAATTCTGTTTCACTATAGCTATTACAACATCTAAACTAGCTTTGTAAGAAGTTATTATAAGAGCTGCCAAGCTTTCGAGACAATTTCTTTGCAATATTTGTTTGTATATGAAATATGCAATAATTATGCTTGGTAGTTAAAAAAACTTGATTAATAGCAAAAATCATAGCAGGATCAGTATTAGTAAAAATTTCTTTGGAAATAAATTGTCTGTTATTTTTAGAATAATATCTATTTATATGAGCTAATAGTCTTATCTTGAATAAGTGATTGCACTATGAGCTTTGTTAGATAGTGATTGTCAACAATTACAAAGAGATTTAACAATATATTATATATATTAGTTTTTGCAGTATTATCATTGACTACTATATAATGGTAATACTTCTATAATTCTATTTAAATTAGCAATATTCAAAAAAGTTGAGAAAGATTATTATTAATACTCTTGAACTCAATATAGACTACCCATCCTGGCTTCTTTTCTTTTTTTTTTATTAGCTATTTCATCATTTTAGCCATATCATTCTTACATTGATTATCTATTTGATTCTTGTATTTACGTATAGTATTATAAAGATCATAGTTATATAAAGGTTGATTAGAGAATTTCTTTGAAATATATCAACACTAAGCATTTGCACCAAAACTATATTTTTGAGTAAAAAACTTAATATTATCAAGAACTTCTTGAGAAAGTGAACGCAAACTTGGAGCAAACTCTTTTCGATATGAAGCAAGAGTATGATTATAGGTTTCAACCAACTTATTAATTACTATACCATCATTTTTTTGATATCCTGTATTAAGTTGCTATAAGCACCCAACTTTTTTAGATTTTCTTTCTCTATAATCTATACTAATATTCTTTTTTTTCGATTGATGTTTTTTTGAATTTTCACAAACAAAATATTAACAAACTATAGTCTTATCACTATTACGTTCTATCTAAAGTTTGATAGCTTTAAGGGTAGAGTATTTGTTTACATGTTTTTTTCATGCAATGCGCAAATAAATATGTATATACAACCAAATATACAATTATAATTGGTTAATTTTGCAGATCATTAAATTTTGATTAGTTTATTTTCATGTCATGCGCAAACAAATGGTAAACAAATACCCTACCCTTAAACCCAACTTCTGATTTGTATCTTTTTAATACATTTTCTAAATACTCCTAATTAGTAAAAGTAGTATCGACTTGTATTATATAATTATTTCTTTTATCATATTCGAACTCTTCATTTTTATATTCACACTCTTCATTATCTTGTTGCTTACACGCTACTTGTAAAACTTCTTGTTCTTGAATTAATTGTATAGATTCTTCAGTCAAATAATTAAAATTAATATTGTTGCTAAGAATTAGATTATAAAAATTTAAAGAGTTGTTATTGGTCAAGTCATTAGAAAAGGAAAAATCAAACAGCATTTAGAATATTACAAAAAAAATATGATATTGTAAGTTATTTTTTTATCTAGTTAATTTCTTTTTTTTTTGTATTATTAAAAATCATCAATATACTGCACTGTTCTTTATTATAAGCATGAATATATGGTTCTGAAAAGGAAACTCTAAGAAATCATTTGAAATAACTGATATTACAGAATTAATTAAAATGATTTGAATATATTAATATACAATACTAGTTTGTTTAGGTTTTTTATAAAACAATAAACTAATAAAGATAAGATATACAAAACTTTACTACAATAGTTAAAAGATAAAATTGTATTTATGTGCTTACAAATATTTATAAAATAATTATGCAAGCGATCTCTACGTATAATATTTATATATTAAATATATAATTACTTGCGATATCGCAACTGTGATATCACAACTGCGATATTGCAACTACGATATCACAATCTGCTATAATTAACAATATTCTATAATAATTAAAGTTATAATTTATTATTTAAACTATAAAGTTGTATTAGAAACTATAGGTCTAAAATTAATATT